GAACTCAAAAAGTAGGTAGGCCACAAGGTGGCACCATTAAGCCATTTGAATAACGTACTGCTGTTTCTAGAAAAAAAAAATGTCATTTTAAAAAAATTAATTAACTTTATTACAGAAGTAATACATGTATAAAAAAAAACTTCCAATTGATCTTCCAATGCTTATTTAATTTTTCATTATATAGTTACAGATTATAAACTAGAAACTTCACCAGGACACCTATAATCCCAGCAATTTGGGAGTCTGAGGCAGGAGGACAGGAAGTTTGAGGCCAGCCTCAAAAGCTTAGCAAGATCCTGTCTCAAAAAAATAAATAAATAAATAAGGAGTTGGGGATGTAGCTCGTACTAGAGCACCCTGGGTTCATTCCCCAGTACTCAAAATAAATAAACTGAAACTTCCTAGGGAGGAGATCCCTTGCTAAGAATTTTAAATGTGGCAAAATTATATAATAAAGATTCTGCAAAATACTGAAAAGTATTAGAATAAAACAAAATATCAGCCAGGCATGGTGACACATGTCTGTAATTCCAGCCAACTCAGGAGGCTGAGGCAGGAGGATAACGAGTTCAGACCTAACCTCAGCAACTCAGTGAGACTCTATCTCTAATAACACATAAAAAAGGGTTGGGGAAGTGATTTAGTGGTTAAAACACCCTTGGGTTCAATCCCTGGTTTAGAAAAAAAAAAAAAAAAAAGCAGTATTAATTTTGCGAGCAATTTATTTATTTTAAGCTAATATGATTTCTAAAAGTTGAATTATAACTAAACTTTAATAATTCAAACAAAATAGTAACAAATATTTATACAGAAATATATCAGAAATCCTTGGTTGGTGTTTTTTTTATTTTTCTGGGAGAAAGAAGAATTTAGGTAAGGCTTTTCTTTTTATGTCAACCATTAAATACTTGAGAAAAATGAGTTATTTCCTGCATATGGAAGAGATTTCCAAATATGTTATTGTTTTTTTACACACTTTAAAAAGCTTACTTTATATGAGATGATTACAAAAGGTTACTTCAGAATATGTGTGCTAGGCTGTTTCCTATAAAGGAAGAACATCTCTGGATAGTATTTTACTATGGTTTAGAAAGAAGTTCACTTTGAATGAAATGGTTATAGGGAGTTAATTTGGAATGTATATGCTAGACTAATATTTACCTTTATTTAATCTTTGGTAGAAAAGTTTGCTAAGCTAATTCATTATGTAAAGAAGAATCTTACAAAACAAACTTAATAACTTGGTGTTTTCACTCATGCAATGAGGATAATTTTAGTACTTAACCTTATAAGGTTTCTGAAAGGGTTAAATTAATTATCATAGGAAAAACACTTAGTATCTGCAGTATAATAGTTTAATAGGTGTCAAAAATGTTATAAACAACTAATAACAGACAAAAAAAATTCTTTTTCTTTTTATTAAGCTTAATTTCCTAACAACATCTATTAAGTAATACCTGATTAACCTAGTTTTAATTAGTATATGAACTTTTAAGTTTATGTTTACATAATGAACTGCCTATTACATAATGAACCCCCTATTATAAAAAGTATTCACACATTTCAAATTAATTTTCTCCTTTACTGTGTTAATGAAATTTTAATTATGGAGTAATTGATATCTTGTTGAAAAAAAATCACAATAGTGGGAATTTTAGACACAGCCAAAGTAGACTAAAATGTTACATATACCACAAAGTGTGAACTCTTGACAAATTTAGGTATAAAGTAAAAAGTATATCTGTTAGTGGTGGATTCAGCTCTATCTCAAAATTGCTCTTGTTAAATGTTTATTATTTTTTTACTTTGAAAATATAATTTAGAAGATTCTACTTAAAAAATGTCTTTCCTCTAATGTTTTTAGAGTACTGGGATATCCTAAAAGGATATAGTCTCAATTCCTCTTTTTAATTTACTTGTTACTACACTTTCAGAAAGAGGATGTCCCTTTTCTTTTTCAAGAACCCAAAGTAAATATTTTCATGGTTTATCTTTATTTAGGACAGAAAACTCAAGGAATTGGAATCCTGGCCATACAATTAATAGGACTTTATTTTCCAGTCTTTTTAAATCCATCTTTAGTTTAAGATGAACTATAACTTTTTGTTTCTTACCTAACATCTGTGAGAATGTGCAGAGCTTAGTGTTTGTTTGTTTGTTTTGCTTTTTAGAAGGTGTTGTTTGCTGTTGTTTATTTTGTAGTGCTGAGGATTGAACCCAGGGCCTCAGGCACACAAGCATTCTATCTGTATCACTGAGCTATATCCATACCCTGGAGCTTAGGTTTCAAGAACAGTCATTCTAAAGTACTAGTGGTTAGGATTTAATGACTTCATCTGAAATGATTCTTGTTTCAAGGTTCTTTGTGGTTATTCTATACTTTGACACAACAGAATCCTTTTAAAAGGATGAAAATAACCCATTCAGGTATAGAAAATACAGATTTTGATGCTCCATTTAATATATATGATTCATTTTCTCAGTTTTAGTCCTTTTCTTTGACATTAGAAAACGTAGGCAATAAGATCTAATAAGGTCTCTCCAGCTGTGCCATTTTTTCCTTGCATTTTAATGAAGTGTCTGATGCTTTGATCTCTGATTAAAATTGCTATATAGGAGCTGGGAGCAGTAGCACACACCTGTAATCCCAATGACTTGGAAGGCTGAAGCAGGAGGAAGACAAGTTCAAAACTAGCCTCAGCAAATTAGCACAACCCTAAACAGCTTAGTTAGACCCTTTAAGAAGAAGAAGAAGAAGAAGAAGAAGAAAATGCTATATGATGATAATGCAGTTTGTTCATTGGGACCAAGGAATGTAGAACTTAATCTTATCTTTCTCAGTGACTTTTCAAAATGAAAAATAAATCAATACATTATGTATAGTAGATATAGAAGACCACTTTAAAGTACAGTATATATTTAAATAGAATATCTTCTCTCCATTAGATCCTAACCATCAAGAATTTGATCTTAGGACTGGGGTTGTAGCTCAGTGGTTAAGCACTTGCCTAGCATGAGTGAGGCCCTGGGTTCAATTTTTAATACCACATAAAAACAAATAAAATAAAGGCTAAATTATTTTTTAAAAATAGAATATAATCTTAAAGTTTTAATAATTGGCCTAAGATTGTGGGTCTAAAGTTTGAGTAATAAAAGAAAAAGAATATTAAATAGAACTTTCTATCAAGTCATTGACTCATAGGCTCCCACCTAAACCTCTCATTGGTTTATTTAGATTCAGACAAGAGCTGTTTGGCATTAGGAGCACTTGTTTAGATCTAGGTGGCCACCTCATCCGAAAGGATGATTGATTTAATGAAGGCCGTCGGGCAGTTGCACAGAGCATGAGTTTAAAGTGTCAACGTTGCACCAGTTGTCCCACACCTGACCCCCAGTTATGTTTTAACAATCCCAGGGTGTCTACCTCTGAACCAGTCCGCAAACACCTTCCCTTATAGGCCTTGTCCCTTAGGCTGCTGGAGCCTGGTGAACAACCAGCATACTTCTGGGGCATAGCCACTTCTACTATGGACTCTTCATGCACCAGGCCTGGTGATTTTCCCCTGCCAGGAACCAGTTCACTCTTGTGGGGAGGTGGGGTGGAGGAGTTATCTAGATATCTCCTCAATCCTAGAAGCTGCCCTGATACTAAAGGATTGAGGTTCTAGGCAAGCTTTCTTCAGTATAGCAGAGTATTGTGCTCAGCCTGGTAAGGAGAATAACTTGCATATTGAGTGCTAGAGTCATACAGCTGGTAAGTAGCTAAGCTAGGGTTCGAACCCAGGAATTTCAGCTCCACTCGTATTCTAGGTGAAGTGATCAAGCCCCTGACAGTCTCCAACCAGCAGGAAAACTTCCTCTCTGTTGTACACTCCTAAGGGTAATCTCTTTCAGGAGAGTCAGACCATGTCTTATGTCTCTCCCCACTTCCCCACTGTGAAAGCAAGTGCCACCACACCCACATAAAAGTATTTTTTTCTTAACTGTATCCTCTTGGCTGTTTTCACTGTTCCTCCACACTCTCAAAAATAGTATTTTATTTCTAAAAAATGCTTTTGTAAGCCAAGTATTGTAGTACATGCCTGTAATCACAGCAACTTGGGAGGCTGAGGCAGGAGGAGTTCCAACCTAGCCTCAGCAACTTATTGAGGTCCTAAGCAGTTCAGTGAGACTCTGTCTCTGATAAAAATAAAAAAGGGCTGGTGATGTGGCTCCGTGGTAAGCACCCCTGGGTTCAATCTCTCGTACAAAAAAAAAAAAAGCTTTTTTAAGGATTGGAAATGTGGCTCAATTAGGTAGAGCACTTGCCTACCAGGTGTAAGGCTATGTATGGGTTCAATTCCCAGCACCTCAAAAAGAGTTTAAAGAAGTAAAACAGTGCTTTTGTGGTGTGATTTGGGAGCCAGCCTCCATTTATAATGTAAAAAGGTATGCATTCTGAATTCCAAAAAATGATTGCTAGTACATTTGTGAGCCAGGTGCAGTGGTGCAGGCCTGTAATCCAAGTGGCTTGGGAGGCTGAGCCAGGAGGATCATGAATTCAAAGCTAGCTTCAGCAGCCGGCAAGGTGCTAAGCAACTCAGTGAGACCCTGTCTCTAAATAAAATACAAAAAAAAAAAATAGGGCTGGGGATGTGGATCAGTGGTTGAGTGCCCCTGGGTTCAATCCCTGGTATAAACAAACAAACAAACAAAATGACTGCGAGTATATTTTTGGAACATAGTTTGTTCTCTGTTGATGGCACATATTTTGATTTTTCTTCTTTCATGCTTTCTTGTTTGTGGGCAACATTGCAGCTCCACATTAAGCCCTTCCTTTCTTGCTTTTCACTGCTTTATTCCTGGTCAGTTACTTCACTAGCCTGAAGAGCTGCTGCCACACGCAGGTTTTCTGGAGAATGCCCACAGGCCCCACTGGTCTGTCGGTATGGAATAGACAGCACATTCTTTCTCATGCCACACCTTAGCTATAACTTAAAATTTTTTTTTATTGTATGTAGATCCTTGCTGGCACATTACTGAATATTTTTGTTGAACCTGCTTAAGAATTCAGAGAAACTGTTGAGTGGCCACTGGAGGAAAGATCTTATCATATACCTGGCGTAAATACTTTCTGCTGGGGACTCCCTCACAATATGTGAAACCCTTAGTGACCTGTGGCCTCGTGTTAGAGGAGATTCAGTTCTGTGATCAAGATGAACAACACTGTTCATCTGTATTGGGCTTAGTAAACATGGGGGTAAGGTTTGCAAGTTTCTCAGGGACAAAGAAGGTGACAAAATTCACTACACTTATTCTTAGCTAAAATTGAATAGACAAGAAAGGCTTATCTTCTTACTGAGCCCACACTAAAAAGGAATCCCATTCTGACAGTCATGAGAATTCTTACTGTATTTGAGTCAAAACACCAAGGAGATCTTTTTTCAGTATCTATTCTTACAGAATTTAGACAGAATATATTACTTATCAAAAAGCACTTGATATATGGTGTTTTATTTTTTCAAAAGTTTGTGAAAACCTATTTTTATTATCCAAACCAGTAAATACTATAGGGGAAAATGGGGATATTACCCTCCAAAACAGGTTCCTATTTTATTGAGTAAATTCTTTTCATGGAGTTAATTTTTTTAAAAAAATCATTATTTAGTATTATAATCTGAAGTTTATTTCATCTTGACCTCTATAATTCTTGATCATAAACACATTCTCCCCTTATTTGGAATCATCCTGACCAGGTGCACTCTCATCACATCCACTCAGTCATATCGACTGAGTCATCTGTTCTCCAGGATGTCCCCTCCTCCCTGCTGCTATCTTAGGTCAGACTCTCATCATTTCTTGCCCAGATTGCTACATTAACCTATTCATTGATCTCCCTACCTTTAGTCTTTTCCTCTCTAATCAGCTCCCCCATGCTGCTGTCCAAGTCATTTTCTGAATGGCAGAAGGTGATACTATTTCCTTGACTTAAAATTCTACAGTGACTCTCACTGAAATTTAAGAATAATAAGCCTTACCATGAAATGTTTGGGAAATTTAGGTAGAGTTCATTAAAAAGCCTTGAGTTGATGCCTGGATCAGAGCAGGGCCTCAGTCTATGTTACTGCCTCTCCTTCCCCCAGAGAACCCACGGCAGCAGCAGAGTTCAGTGTAAAGTTAGCCCAGACCTGGACGGATGGTGGTTCTGCTGCAGAAACACTAAAACGAGGGTGGGCCAACAGTCCCACCAGAATCCACAGCCAGTCCTACTTTGTTGAATGCCCTGGAGCTTAGACACAAGATGAGATTGGTCTAGCATCCAGTTAGTTCCCTTAGTGTTCCAGAAAGAAAGACTTCTCCTGAGAAATGCAAGCTGAGCCCATTTGTGCCCAAGCTTTTGTAACCTTAGAGTAAGAAAGAAATCTCTGTAAATGCATTCTTCTCAGCTTTTATATTATCTTGTTTTGGTTTGTTTTTAGTTTCCTAGTAAAATTTTCTTTGACAAGCTTGAACTTTTTCTTAAGTGAACCAAGGGGAAGAGAGAGAGAGAGAGAGAGAGAGATGTTACAGTGGGCACAGTTGGGATTGCTGCTGTTGTCTCACCTCTACATTCCCAGGAAGGACTACTTTTTCTCATTTCTCTTGTCTTCAGACAGTGGGAGTTTAGCAAAATCATGTATTGAGATGATCACACAACACAGCACAATGGGGTTGATAATGTCAAAATGTATGTGAATCTGTGTTGATTTCATGATATTTCCAATTTTTAAATTCAGTTTATTATTTTCTTTAACTTTTCTCTTCTATGAAAACTTGAAATTTGTGCTGTAAGTACAACATTCTAACAAGTCCTTATTGAGTGCCAATTAAGTTAATTTTTTTTTATTCAGGTAATTTTGTTTACCATATAAAATATCACAAATACAAGGAAAAGCAAATATATGAAAGAGAATTATTTACATGGTAAAAAGCAAAACAGAGCTTCATAGTAATTTATTTGTAATTTTGATCTAACAAATGTGAAGAAAATGGTATATTTTAATGAAAAATAAAATATAATTGATAACTTTCTTATTGTTTTTTCTGTTCAGTAAAGAAATTTTATTATAGGCAAGCGGCCAAGAGGGTAAGAAATAGTACTTTCATGGTTGACTTCATTGTCTTGATTCAGTTTGGCTTCATCAAATCTCATTCACCTCATATTTTATTACAGGCATATTCTGTTCACATTAGAACAATGTCCTACGTTTTTGTAAATGATTCTTCTCAAACTAATGTGCCCTTGTTACAAGCCTGTATTGATGGAGACTTTAACTATTCTAAACGGCTTCTGGAAAGTGGCTTTGACCCAAATATCCGTGACAGCAGGGGCAGGACAGGCCTTCACCTTGCAGCAGCCCGAGGGAATGTAGACATCTGCCAGCTGTTGCATAAATTTGGTGCTGACCTTCTAGCCACAGATTACCAAGGAAACACAGCTCTTCACCTCTGTGGCCATGTGGATACCATCCAATTCTTAGTTTCCAATGGACTCAAAATTGATATATGGTAAGTTTTTTGTAGATTTTGAAGTCTAGTAATTTTTTATCATTAGTCTTTAAACCAGTGGTCTAATCTCAAGAGTCTTGATTTTGTTTCTTCATTGATCAGTTGTAATGACAGGTTCAGGAAAGCATTGAAGACAGTGAGATCTTGTTAGGCAAGTGAGAGAACAAGAGACTAACTTCTAGATTTATGCTGAAGCACTATAATTTTTTCTATGAAAATTGTGGCTAGTTTCTACTAATTAATTGCATAATTAAGATGGGGAAAGAAGGAAAGAAGGTAACCTATTGTGAGCTAGACTGTGTTGCTTACGTTGCAGTTCATTTCATCTTCAGAACCAATAGCTTTTAAAGTAATTTGTTCTCTTCATTTTATACATGAAGGAGTTGAGAGGAGATCACACAGCTATGAGGAACAGAGCTGGAATGTGAACTTAGTTCCTGACTCCAAAGTTCATTTGCCTTCTGTCACATAATGTACCAACTTCATAATCTCTCTGGGGCTCAGGGTCTTTGGACTGAGGAAGTTTGGTGAAGTAATGGGTTTTTATTTGATTTAGTAATAGCCTGTTTCTTGAATGAGAAAGATGTCAGGCCACCTTTAAAACTGAGTTTGAGGTTTAAGTGACAGTTACTTGTCCTGGTTTATTGATGCTGCAATGCTCCTGAACCTGAACAAGACAGTAAATGATTCTGTTACTACAGGACAGAATGTGGTGGGAATTAACTGTAGGATTCAGTGTGTTAGGGTTCTGTCTTGGTACAACTATTAAATAGCTGAGTGAACAAAAGTAGCTTTTTAAAAAATTCTTTTAAGATTTTAAAAATATATTTTCTCCCCATAAAATGTGTCTAATAACAGTGAGTCTAGAACTAGACTGTCCCATAAATCTCCGAGATGTTCTCTTTTTATTTACTGTCATTTACCCATTCTTTTGCTTGTGGATTCTCCTTTTCCTTTTCCCTGGAAGGAAGAAAGTAGGTTGATTCAAGCATCAGCTTCTGGCTTGAACATTGGCTGTGCTACAAAGTTAATTTTGAGTTAATTGATCCCATTTCTTCACTGAGATCTAAACAAGTAAGAACTAACAGGATAATATAACTGCTTATATATCTTTATTTTTATGAATTTTCTTAGCAATCATCAAGGTGCTACTCCTTTAGTTCTGGCAAAGCGCAGGGGAGTGAATAAAGATGTCATCAGATTGCTGGAATCTTTGGAAGAACAGGAGGTAAAAGGATTTAACAGAGGAACCCACTCAAAACTGGAGACCATGCAGACAGCTGAGAGTGAAAGGTACTTGATATATAATTTTTTAAGGGGCAAGTCACTAAGTACCTGGATCTTTTGTAGGACCTCGGTGAATTTGGTTTCTTTGCTCTCAAGTGCAGGGTTTGACTTATCTTTGAACTCTATATAGGTCTTTAAGAATTCAGATTACAATTGAGAAGCTTTTAACAGAAAGTACTTATGTGCTCCATGCACATAATGTTCAGCCAGCCACCTGCTATATTGGCAGTACAAGGGAGAAGAGGTAGTTAAAATCTGAATCTGACAGAAGGAAACAGGAATTTGAGAATTTTAAGTACAGGTCACAAAAAGAATCAAATTTCAAAAAAGGAAGAGAAAGATAAGACTGAGAACTTGGACAATATTAGAAAGATCAAAAAGATAGTTTCAAGGGTAGGGAAGTAGAATTGAGAAATAAGAAGAGGGAAAATAAGATAAGACTTAACACATGCACAATTCAGTCATTGAAAGTGGCTTTCACAGGAGTTAGAACTAATAAAAGTTGGGTTTCTCTAAGTAATTGAAGCTAAGATGTGGTGACTGATGAGGTCCTAAGTATCTCATCACTTTTCATCTGGAGGCAGCAGAGAACATGGTTCAGGAAGTTTTGAAAAGGTGGCAAATTATCTTTTGTGCGGCCTCACTGGCTCAACAAGGGAAGTCAGTAGGCCTGGCCTAGTTTTTAGTAGCATGCAGTTTGGTGGATCACCCTTGAGTTTTGGCCTCTACATTATACAGTGGGGTGAGAAGGGTGATGAGCTTACTACTGTTTGTTCCCAAATTTTTCTGTAGAATACAAATACAGCTGTTCACTTAATATCTGGTTGACCAGGACTTCACTTTAGTGTGACACCAGTCACTTAGACCATTGGGATCAGGTATCTGTAGGTTCTAAATGAAATGTTTTTCATCATCAACCTTCCTTCATCTGATTTCTTTGCACCCATGATTGCCTTCCTCCTCCTTTCTGTGCTGGCTGGTATACTACGGGGGACCATTAAATGCCACTTTCAAGCTTAGGTCTACTTTGTTTAGATACTTTTACTCATTTTTTATTATCCTAAAGCAATTTAAGATAATAAAGTTCTCATGCTCTTCATGTTACCATCAAAAACTGACAAATTTTAGATAAACAAAGTTAAAGATGCATTTGCAAGCCCTTTTCTCTCACCTGTACGCTCTGGGTCAACAGTGTCGTAAGCACTTTAGCAATGTTAACTATTCTTTGTTAAAGGTCATGTTCCTTTAAGATAAGTTGAAATTTATCTTCACCTTTCTAAAATAAATTACATTATTTTAAACTTCTTTACTATGAAAAATGTCCAAGAATGTGTTTTTACTTGGTGTATTTTTGAGACCTTTATTTTGTTAATAGCCAGTTTCCAGGATCCTTTTTTATCAGAAATACACTTTTAGCTTTTTTTTTTTTTTCCTTTTTAATTACTTGACTAAGAAGTGATTAGTTGCTAAGTGGCTCAATACCCCTGCTTTTTTTCACAAACCTGTCATTTAAATTCAGCATGAGAATTTGTATTATTTACACCTTTGCATAAAGCCAATTCTTCAAAAATTAAATCATTAATACTTTTATTATCTAGCTTTCTTGCCTTATTTAGACCCCGAAGTGTCATGGTACAAATGCAGTGATTGAGGCTTAAATTAAATTTAAAGGAGTGTCATTAGGAAAATGTACATCAAAACCACAGTGAAATATCACTTCACATCTACTAGGATGACTATAATCAAAAACACAGACAGGGGGCCGGGGCTGTAGCTCAGTGGTAGCATGCTTACCTGGCACGTGTGAGGCATTGGATTTGAACCTCAGCACCCCATAAAAATAAATAAATAAAATAAAGGTATTGTGTCCATCTACAACTAAAAAAAAAAAAAAAAACAGACAGTAATAGGTGTTATGGAGAATAGGGAGAAATTGGACCTTCACTTTGCTGGACAGAACATAAACTAGTGCAACCACTTTAGAAAACAACCCAACAATTCCACTTCTAAGTGCATACCAGAGACAACTGAAATCATATGTTCATACAAAAACTTGTGTATAGATGTTCATAGCAGCATTATTCATAATATCCCAGACATGGAAAGCATCCACAAGTCTATCAACTGAGGAAAGAATAAACAAACTGTCACCTGTTCACTGAATGGAATATTATCCACCAAAAAAAGATGAAATCTGATACATGCTCCAACATGAGGCAGTATTGAAAACATACTGCATAGAAGCCAGGCACACAAGGCCACATATCATATGATTCTGCTTATACGATATTTCCAGAACAGGCAAATCCACAAAGACAGGAAGTAGGTTAGTGGTTACAAGGAGCTTCGGGGAGGAGCAATGTGGAGTAACTGATTGGTACAGAGTTTCTTAGAGAGGTGAAGAAAACGTATTGGGATTAGGTGGTGGAGATAGTTTACAACTTTGTGAATGTACTAAAAGCCCCTGAACTGTATAGTTTTAAAAGATGAGTTTTATAGCATGTGAAATCATGTCTCAAGAAAGGTAGGAGAAAGAAGTTTAAAGGGATTAGCTAGCATACAGCATTATGGCTCAGCTGGGTGCTAACATATTCTAGGGCAGAAGATGAAGGAAGGTTTTAAATGCTTTAATACAGTGTTTTCCTTGGGGTTCCCAGATACATAACCTAACTTCTGTATAAGGGCCTATAGATGAAGTTGTTGAATAACATTTTTCTACTCCTACATAGTATCCTAAGGTTAATTTAGTTTCTTTTTTATTATAGAGTTAAGTATAGATAACACATATTTAAAAATAAAGATTAAACACACACACACACACACACACACACACACACACGCACACAATTACACTAGAGTCAGGTAGCCTCCAAACAGTGGAAAGCATTTCATCGGATAATCTCTCTATCAAAAATTCTGATTGGAGGCTGGGGTTGTGACTCAGTAGTGGAGTGCTTGCCTAGCATATGTGAGGCACTGGGTTTGATTCTCAGCACCACATATAAATTAAAAAAAAATAATAAAGGACCATTGACAACTAAAAAATATTTTTAAAAAAAATATGATTGGGCTGGTCATGGAGGTGCATACCTATAATACCAGTCACTTGGGAGGCTGAGGCAAGAGGATCACAAGTTCAAAGCTAGCCTCAGGAACTTAGTGAGGCCCTAAGCAACTTAGCAAAACCCTGCCTCAATATAAAAAAATATATTGAGGATGTGGCTGAGTGGTTAAGTGTCCCTGGGTTCAATACCTAGTACCAAAAGGAAAATCTGATTTTGGCTGAGCTTCTTGATCTCCTAGAGAGTGCTCACTGAATTCTCATTTGATATCTTACATCTTTGAGTATGAAAGCATGTCAGCTTAGACAGTCAAAAAACTTCATATAGGTCAAACTAAACCTGTCCTGAACTTTATCTGCTTATGGTTAACACTTGTTCAGGTCTTCTCAATGTTCTAATCTTTGAAACTTGCTTGTTCTAATGTTCCCATATTATTGTAGATCCATGTCTGGTTTCCATGTCTGGGATATTATGAATAATGCTGCTATGAACATCTATACACAGTATAAACATCTATATACAATTCTCATATTATTGTAGAACCCTACTGAAAATGTCTTCTCTTATTTAGAGATGAAGCTGCTTCCACCCCACCCTCCCAGTACTGGGGTTTGTACTCATGGGTGCTATCCCATTGAGCCACTTCCCCATCCCTTTTATTTATTTTTAAAATTTATTTATTTTTGGTACTGAACCCAGAGGCACTTTACCACTGAGATATATCCCAAGCCCTTTTTCATTTTTTATTTTGAGACAGGATCTCAACAAGTTGCCAGCCGAGGTTGGCCTTGAATTTGCAATCCTCCTTTTTCAGCCTCCTTGGTTGCTAAAATTACAGGAGTGTATCACTGTGCCTGGCTGAGAGCAAGCATTTTTAATACGAAAAGAGTTTGGATGTTGAACAGACTGGCCCATGAGGAAGGCATCTGGCTGTGACTAGAGAAGCCCTAATACCAATAAAGGTTAAAGGACCTTTCATTAACAGTGCCAAGAAGTAAAATAATGTTTTAGCATTAAAAAAACTGCCAGTTTTGTATATTTTCATAGTTCATGGTAAATAAGACTCTAAAGACATTGTTTTGTTGTTTTCATTATTCTGTGCCTAGATAGTTGGAGGAATGTGAAAAGAAGGGGTATAGGAAGGATAGTAATGAGCTTTTCTAACTAATAGAGAGTTCATGCCTAAGATTCTCATCTTTATGGCTTTAATCTAAATGATACCATGTTATAGGGCCTGCATGTTGTGACAGAACTATGGGTGCTGATCTCATAAAGCTTTCAGTTCATAATAGTGCTTTCTTCAAATACCAAAGTAGACATTCTGTTTTCTCTCTGGTGGTCATATTTCTCAATGACAGTGTTTTAAATATCAGAATCGGTGTTTTGATAGTATTTGCACTACCTTATTCAATATTATTTTATAAGACAAGGCCAAAACCACTAGGAAGAAACTATTAAGAATTCCTAATGACTGGACCAGTCCACATGTACATCAGACTGAGAAATAAGCTTCCATTGTTACAAAATTACATTTGAAGAAGTAATTCCTTCATTGATCAGATTATTGAACTAAAATTAATTAAAATTCTCATTCAACATTTACATTCACACACTTATATGTAAATGCTTATTTTCATTCTCATAAAATTTCAAATTAGGAGTTTTCATTTTGAATCTTCTAAATATTAAGTGTGTTTATATCTTGATGAAAACAACTCATTTGACCTATGTCAAGACTTCCTCTTGGGACATATGATTAGGATTTTTAATTTGATTCTGCTAGATACTAACCAAGAAATAATCGCTGCAGTTTCTCAATTTATAGTTCGGGGTAGACTGTCCAGATACTGTGGATATGGGAATGATCAGGGAGGTAGGTGAGAGCATATACATAAGTCAGTTTTTTCCTTGTAACTTTGGTATTATAAGTTTGGCCTTTTGTAAATAACATGATTTACTGTTTTATGTTTTTGAAATGGGTGAAATGTGTCTTTCTTTGTCTTTCCACAGTGCCATGGAAAGCCATTCTCTCCTCAATCCCAACCTACAGCAAGGTGAAGGAGTCCTTTCCAGCTTTCGAACCACATGGCAGGAGTTCGTAGAGGATCTGGGCTTCTGGAGGGTCCTGCTCCTGATCTTTGTCATTGCTTTACTGTCTCTTGGCATTGCCTACTATGTGAGCGGAGTGCTGCCCTTTGTGGAAAACCAGCCTGAACTGGTGCATTAAAGGAGCTAAAGGAGATGAGGCAAATGCTTATTTCTTGGCTCCCAACATTGATTCTCAGTTTCTGAAAATTTTTCTTAGTGCAAGGCAGCGAGAGCTGAACATTTCTTTTTATGCACTTTTACTTATTGTAATTGTTTTAGAAGAATAATGTGTTCATTTGAACTTCATACTATAGTCAAGTATAGGGCATCCTAATGCTACCTCTCACTCAACCTGACTTCTTAAGAAAATCTACTCATAAAACCTGTTTGATAAAAACATGGAAATGACTAGAGAATAGAAGCTGAGGGAAGAGGGTAGGAAGTCCTTTGGATAGAAATCCTGATCTTGGACCAATTGAAGTATCCAAAAAGAAAAAAGTGTTCTTTTTATGAATGGTTTAGGTGGTGGTTTTAGTTTTGTTTATTTTTGCGAGAGTCCCTTTTTCTTTTTATTTACTTTCTCTGGGGAGAGGGCAAAACCTTTCAACTTAGAGTACATTTGAAAAATCTTGTATAGCAAATTAATAGTGTTAGAATCTGTTTGGTTTATTTCAATATTTTGAAGTCTAGTCACAAACCAAACAAAACTTTTGAAAGGAACTATATTTCCTTCAAAACTGATTGATTTAATCTTTGCTTTAGGGTGATTCTGGTTTGTTATAAACTACTTTGCTTGTTAGTATCTGAAAAAATCAACTTAAGGAGTTCACTTTGCTCACTTTCTAATTTCCTCTGGTGTATATATTAGAGGTATCCTGTTCATCAAAAATGCAGTCAGCAAACTCTTTTTCTACTGAATAGTTAGCAGGGGAAAATAATTCTCATATTTAATTGTCACTAGAATTCTGTAGTGCTATTTCCGTGAAAACGTCAGTTCTATAAGCTAGCTGTGTTGTCACAGTTGTATCATAATTATTTAATGTGGAGTCCTATTTAGAGGCCTGTCAGACTTTTTGTCGCAGTCCCATCTACGTCAGTAATTCTCCTACGGCAGGAACGGGTGGAATACTCCTCAGTTAACAGCCCTGAGCCATACTATGCTGAGTGTCATCAACTCTTTCTGACTGCTAACATCATGTACATTGATATCTGGCCCCCAAACTATATTGCAGCTTTCAGCAGTGTGTTTGAAGGCCTCTTTTGTTAATGTTTCTGTATGTATAAATCACTTCTTAGGTTATTACAAAAGAATCTGAATGCTTAATAATTGTCCATTGAGTGAAGTCTGAAAATTGTAGTGAAAGAATTAATGGCTTTATTTTCTAGAACAACAGCATCTAAGCTACTGCTAGTTGAATTGTTGCTAGAACCAGAAATTACAGTTAGTGTAGAATTGGTACTTCTGTGATTCTTTTCGCTTCTTGGTATTTCCTCCTTTGTATTTATATATCTGTTATTGAGGTTTTTTTCTTTCATATGGCTTTATCCTCCCTTAAAGAGCTATTTTAAAATTCCTGCTTTACTGTTTGTTTTAAGATCAGCTTGCAGAGTCTTGCTTTTAGGTTAGATACAAACAAAGTTAAACATACTTGGTATAGCAAAAAAAGAAAAAAAAAAGAACCAAAGTATATTCAGAATGAAAGCTTTGGAATTAGTTTTACATTTGTTTGTAAACCTAAATAAAACTGGTCAATATATGTAAATATATTACACTTTTTAAAGATTAATGTTTCCTTTTCAGTGCCGATTTCTTTGTATTGTCTGCATTCAGCATTAAGTAAAACCACCAATAAAATATTTATAAATCCTTAGTCACAGTCCGCTTTCTTAGTGGATCATGGTTTTTCTTTTTATTTCAGGACTTTGTAATGGATTGCAGTTGGCTATTTGAAAACCAAAGCTTTTTTTAAAACTGATATAATAGATAGCTAGACTTTCATGCATGCTTTATAAATGCTCCAAAACTAATTTGAGTGAATTGCTTGTGGATTTAAAGAGTGATAATAACTAGCATGGTTAAGCCTACCATTAGACAAAGTCACTCACCATGCCTCATCTCATTTCATTCTGTTACCCCATAGGGCCCGATATGTCCCTGTTTTATAAGATGAGAAAGCTGACACAGGGAAGGTTAAGTAATTCATCCAGCCCAAGGTCACACAGTCAGGCCATGGTGGAGCTAGGATTCCAGATTGAGGCTCTATCCCCAATTAGAAGTTGGCTCTTTCCTCCCACTCCACTGTCTGTCACGAAACTGGCAACCGTACTGCGTTTATTTAGAGCCTCACCTGCTGCCATCCCGCAGGGCATTACTAAATTTTCCACTACTGTTCCTATATTCTTTTCCTCCTGTGATACATCATTTTACACATGCTCCCAGTGTTGCAGCCTTTAACATTCAAGCTCAGACCCTGGCATATTTAGAAAACGTTGCCTGGTCAACCATGGGCTGCCCCCTTCTCTACCTGTCAGTTTCCACCACTGCCACACTCAGTGTGATCAAATTTATTTGCATTTTATAACCTATTCCTCTGTAAACATGATTTTTTTTTTTTTTAGATATGTCACTGTAATCATAGGCTTAGTGAAAGCAGAGCCTTCATCTATTTTTACATCCCTTCCTGTCCACATGCATCATATAAAGCTTTTTGACACAGGTACTGATAGCATTACTTTGCCTTTCACTATATTTTTTTTTTATTTCAGATTAAATAGGTCTTTCTTTTCACATGTCCCCCCCAATAAGTTGCATGCATATCCTGTGCTAGTCTTTATAACTCAGTGTGCCTGCAGCATGACAGACAAACTACGCCAGCTGGTCCTGTTTAGCCAGCTCCTTACCTAAAGATTGTGCAGGTTCCCCCCAGCGGCGCCTGTACAGGTTCACCACCTGGTGCAGAAGTCCTGGAGCATTATTTACCTTCTAGTTGTTTTTGGTGGTGTTGGTGTTTGTTTAAACCTGACCTTAGCTTTGTACTTGTGAAATTGTTTACATATGTATCAAAGTGCTTTCAGTTACAAAAATCAAACTCCAAATTGGAAGCAGCTTAAACCATAGAAAGTACATTGCTTCATAATACAAGAAGTCCCATCAGTAGGGTTGACATAGTTCAAAAGCCTTTAGCTTAGCTCCCCTGTGCTTTGGGTGGTGTTCTTCTGATTACATTCTCCAGTTCTGAAGTGAGTGCAGAATTTTCAGGTATCACATCCATTTATAACTAAGTAAAGAAGAAGAAATTATCTTTATTTTTTTTTTTCCTTTTGGTACTGGGGATTGAACCCAAGAGTGCTCTACCACTGAGCTAAATTATGCCCAGCCCTTTTCATCTTTTATTTTGAGACAGGATCTTGCTATGTTGCCAAAGGTGGCCTTAAACTTGAGATCCTCTTGTCTTGAACTCTCAAGTAACTGGGATGGTAGGCATTTGCGGCAAAAAGAAACCATCTTTACTGTGATTTCCTCCTAGAATACCCTGCTTCATTGTCTGAAATTACATCATGTACCCTAATCTGGAATCAACCAGTGTGAGGCATTGGTTGACTTTAGGCTTTAGTTAGTCATTGGTGGCATAGGGGAGGTAGAATTCATTTGATTGACTTGGACCAGTGATTTTAGAAATGATTGGGGCCACTGTTGGTAATTAGTGGCCAGTTTGACACAATAAAGAATTGTTCTATAACATGCATGATTTTTTAGTATTCTCTGGAACATTCATATGCTAAGAAAGCAAAAATAAGAATTATTACAGTTATCTGAGACCAAACCCCAACTCCCTTTACATTTTAAAACAAAAATAGTTTTTAATGTACCATGAATTTTCTTAGAGTACAACCACCAAATAATTAAAGGAAGATTCCACTTTATTTTGTTCAAGACTTGACCAAGAATTGTATCTGTTTCAAAAGTCTTAATATTGTCAGTAGTGCTACTGATGATAATTAAGTGACCAACATGATTCTATTACATGTATTGACTTGTTTGTTCTAATGTAGTTTGCCTGAGCATTTACATATTGAAAAACACATTTTATTATAAATTACTTTCATTGTATCTTGCCTCTATATTACCTGCTTTTTGTGGAATAATTTTTACTGATCTCAGTAGTTGTTATTCCCTCTTATCTGGGATTCATGCTACAGCTTATCTTATTTATCATCTTCATACCTTTTCCACATAGTTCAACTTGGAGACCATCCCAGGAAGTAGCTTTCCTCAAAGTTAATAGAACACTGGTTGGGGTTTGGAGAGATGAGGCCAGCATCTGGTTAGAATACCCTTTTAAATTGTTCAGGCAGAAGCCTTTTCTTTGTACTTCAAAGTGGATTCAGAACAGTTTTCTAGAAAAGATCTTGGCCATGGACACCCCTTGGCTTCCCTCAAAGCACATTTTTGGTGTATCATTCAGTTGATCATCCTCAGACTTCACATCACAACTGGGCTGGTCCATAGGGGTTGACACTTCCCTGGGAACAGAGATTTGGCCACACTCATGTTAGATATTAAGAACTACAATCTAGGGTTCCTCATTACTTACTATTCACCCAAGACTTAACATACTGCTTGGCAGATGTTTTAGATTATCATTGACCAACCTGAAGTGATAGAAGTTTTCCAGATATCTGTGCTGTTCAATGCAATAGCTACTTGCTACTCGATTAACTTGAATTAGAAAGTCAAATTTTATTCACACATATCACATTTCCAGTGGTCAGTATCCATCACTGGTAATTGTAAACAGATAAAGAACATTTCTATTTTTGCAGAAAGTTCTTTTGGGTCACATATTTCTAAAATCTCCCTTGGATTCAAGTCAGGTCAGTATAGAGCTAGATATTTGGACCCCATCATGGCAGTGCCTTTACTGAGCTCTTCATTAATAATTGGTGGTATCACTATATGGGGCTTATTAACTCAAAGGTTTACAAATGCCACTGTCCTCACGTCACAGGGAAGCCAACGGACTGGAGGCAGGTTCAAATAACATATCCGAGGTCACCCAGCTAGTAAAGAGTAGAGGTGGAATTTGAACTCAGATGGTTGGACTGGGTCTCTTCACCATTATGCTATGATGCCTTTGCTTAGAATTTTTTTTTTTTTTTTTTTTTTTTAGGTACTGGGGATTGAACCCAGGAGCATGCAACCACTGAGCCACTTCCCCAGCCCTTTTATATATTTTATGTAGAGACAGAGTCACACTGAGTTGCTTAGGGCCTTGCTAACTTGCTGAGGCTGGCTTTAAACTCTCCATCCTCCTGCCTAAGCCTCCCAAGCTGCTGGAATTACAGGAGTGTGCCACCACACCTGGCTGATATCATCATCTTGAAGTGAAAATTGTCTCCTCACCTGTGGACCTAACCATTGATTCTGTTCTAAGGAAAGTGACTGAATGCTGTTGACACAGTTCTTTATGAAGATCCCTGAGGAATAACTTGTGCTTCTTACAACCAGAACCACAAGCCTTTCTGCTAAGCAGTATTTTGCTTTCACAGGATGTGCTCTAACAATTGTGTAGTTGACCAGATAGAGTGCCTTTCACACTGGACACTTGAAAAACTTAATGCCAAACTTGGTTTCCCTCAGAAGCTATTGTAATATAGGTCATCATGGTAATTTATCATTTCATTTGTACTATTCTGTGTACATGATGGGGTACAGATAGTTGGGAGCTATTCTTTTTAATAGAATTGATAGGACTACCACAAAACAGCCTATTTTTTCCTGGAATCTAACAGGAGAAAGTATATTGACCTTTTGCAATTGAAAACAATACTTTGTTGCCTCCTACTCAAAAATGCAATTATGGTTTTTAGCGTTCCTACAGATATCAGTTTACCTTATTTATGTGTCTTTCTTTGTTACAAAAAGGGATTTAAGTTCAGCTGAATAAGCAGATATTATTCTAAATCACAGAAATCAAATGTCCTAGGTTATTCTATTCTAGCATCCTGATGAATCATTTGAATGAAATCTGAAAAATGAACATTAAGAGGTACTGTAATCCTAAAATTTTAGCACTAGAGGGACATTAGAAGGTGTGCATGGGGTGGAGGGACCAAGAGGGACTGAATGACTATAATCCCAAAGTTAAGAAAGAACTATTATTCAAATGTTATTTGAATCCAGATGTAGTCCACTGTTCTTAACTTTTCCCTATGGTCCCTTTCACATCTCCATCGTTGCCTGCTCTAATATGTGGTTCTAAATTTTTTTTTCCCCAGACCACTGGTCTCATAATAGATATCAAGATCTATACTACTAATACACAGAACTTATTAAGCTTTTCAGATGTCACAGAGCATAACTTCAGCTGCAGCCAAGTGCTAATGACAAAAGCTCTAGCAGTCAAGGATGGCAGCATGTCATTTTATGACAACACTTGGGGCTTTTCCAATTTGGTGTTTAGAATATCCTGAAAGAATCTAGTCAGGCTTTCTAAATATTATTTTAAAATACAAGTGTTATGGTTTAGCTATGAGGAGTCCCCAAAAGCTCATGTGTGAGACAATGCAAGAAATTTCAGAGGTGAACTGATAGGTTGTGGGAGCCTTAAGCTATTCAGTACATTAATCCACTGGAATGGACTAACTGGGTGGTAACTGTGGGAAGGCAGGGTGTGCTGGAGGTGGTGGGCCACTGGGGGTGTCTTTGAGGTTTATATATTGTCCCTGCCGAGCAGAGGGGTCTCTCTCTGCTTCCTGGTGCCATGTTCTGAGTAGCTTTCCTCCACCACACACTTCCACCATGGTGTTCTGCCACACCACGGGCCCAGAGCAATGGAGCCAGTTGTCTATGGACTGAGACCTGTGAAAC